GCTGTGCAGAAAAACCTACCCGGGGAAGGCTTTTTCAGAATCCCATTATTTTCAATGGAACTTTACCCCTCTGTTAGGGTTAGGGGTGTGCACCAGGGTAGGGTTAGGGTTAGAAAAACGAGGCGTCCTGGCACGGTTTGGATGGTTGGAATGTATTTAGAAGGGGCAGAAATGATGAGCTGTGCAGAAAAACCTACCCAGGGAAGGCTTTTTCAAAATCTCATTATTTTCAACAGAACTTTACCCCTCTATTAGGGTTAGGGGAGTGCACCAGGGTAGGGTTAGGGTTAGAAAAACGAGGTGCCCTGGCATGGTTTTGAGGGGTGGAACGTGTTTAGAAGGTGCAGAAATGATGAGCTGAGCAGAAAAAGCTGCTCAAGGAAGGCTTTTTCAAAATCTCCCTATGATCAATGGACTTCACCCCTGTATTAGGGTTAGCGGTGTGCACCAGGGTTGGGTCAGGCCAGTGGTGGCGAACCTACAGGGTTCGTGCCACAGCGGACACACAGAGCCCTCTCCGTCGGCACTCGAGCCAAGTCACCCCAGCAGCCGAGCATCGGATAACAGCGCACACGGGGGGCGTGCGCACGCTCGGAAAGGAGTAGTGGCGCCAGGCGATGACGTCACGAGCCCTGACTCAGGAGCCGCGCCTCGTCCGAGCGTTCGCATGGCTGGTCAGTGCATTGCTAAGTGTATATATATATTTGCTTGGACTGGCGGTGAGTTGTTTTTTCTGAACTAAAATCTCAGTTTTCAGGTTTTATTGCATTGTTGGCACTTTGTGATCATTTAGTGGGCTTGGATTGCAGTTTGGGCACTCGGTCTGTAAAAGGTCCGCCATCGCTGGATCAGGGCGAGAGCTGGCAGGGTCCGAACTTGCCGACATCTTTCATGTATTTGCTGGGGGTTGAAGTGGAGGAAGGGGCCTCTCCTCCTCCCGTCCCCCGCCCTGCCGACGCGGGGGGGCGCTCCTGACACGGTCGGTGGTCCGGCGCAGCGTCAGCCCCGACCGAGCCGTGTGGCGCTGCTTTCGGCTGCCCAGGGGCTCCCCTCTTCCTCTGGGCGGGGCGGGGGCGCAGCGCCTCCTCCTGCCGGCCACTCGCCGCAGCAGCCGCCCCTGGGAAGGAGCCGCCTCGCTGCTGCAGGAGGGTCGGTCCCGCGAGGAAGTGCCGCCCCCCGCCGGGCGCCAGCGGCCCCCCTAGCTCGGGGCAGCTCTGTGCCCCCCTCGCTCTGGCAAGGCTGGCCGTGCACGGGGGCTCTTGGGGGGGCCCCGGCCACTGCTTTGGGTGGGCGGCCGCCGCTCACCGGGCTCTGCCTTCCGCTGCCGCCCCGACAGGCTGATCGAGCTGCACTCGGCCGACAGCCGGAACACGCTGGTGCTGCGCTGCCAGGATTCGGCCAGCGCCCACTCCTGGTTCACGGCCATCCACAGCAACATCGCGGCCCTCCTGCCCCAGGTCCTCGCCGAGCTCAATGCCATGCTGGCCGCCAGCAACGCGCCGGGGAGCAGGGAGGTCAGGCACATCGCCTGGCTGGCCGAGCAGGTGAGTGGCCGGGGGGGGGGGGGGCGCCGCCGTTCTCCGGAGTGGCGGCGCTTCTGAGCCACGCGGTCGCCCACGAGCGGAAACAAGCGAGGCCAACGGCGCCGCAGCCCCGACACCCAAGGAGGGCGCCGCCGTGCGCGCAAGCGAGCGAGCGCAGGCCGTTCCCCACTGGCCCGCTGCTCCCGTCGGCCGGCTGCCCTGCCTCCTGGCCGCTCCCCGCCGGAGCCTCGCAGGCCCGGTGCGCCCTGGAAGGGCCTTGGCGACTGCTGCCTCCTCCCCGCAGGCCCGGCTGGATGGGGGGCGACAGCAGTGGAGGCCGGTCCTCCTGGCCGTGACGGAGAAGGACCTGCGGCTCTATGACTGCATGCCATGGACGAGAGACGCCTGGGCATCCCCCTGCCACAGCTACCCCCTCCTCGCCACCAGGTGGGCAGCAGCGGGGGCATGTGGGTTCCGGGCCTGCCCTGAGAGAGGCCGGGAGCAAGCTCGGACTTTCTGGCCAGCTCCCTGGAGACCCTGCAAGCTACGAGGACTAGCGTCTTGTTGGGAGAACAGTCTTAGCCGCCGGGCGGCTCTTGCAGTGGGGGGAGAGGCAGACCACGCGGACGGCCCTGCCATGAGCGCCGGCCCGAGAATGGCCGGTGTGCGCCTCTCTCGCGGCAGCCTTGCTGGCTGCCCCGGCGTGACCCCGTCCCCCCTCTCCCCGCCAGGCTGGTGCACTCGGGCGCAGGGCGCAGGTCCCCCTGCGTGGGGTCGGACCTCACCTTTGCCACGCGGACGGGCTCCCGCCAGGGCATCGAGATGCACGTCTTCCGAGTGGAGACGCACCGCGACCTCTCCGCCTGGACCAGGACCCTGGTGCAAGGCTGCCACGCCGCGGCGGAGCTCGTCAAGGAGGTCTCCCTGGGTAGGCCGCCGGGCTTCCGTGTCCGTGGCACTGCGGGCGTTTGGGGCTTGGGGTGCCCAGGGGCTCCTGTGCCAGAGCCGGTGGCCAGAGAGCGGCCGCCACGCCGGAACCGGGTGAGTCCCCGAGGGCTGCCTGAACCCAGCCCCGCTGCCCAGGGGGACTGCCCTCCGTGGTGGAGGCCCCGCCCCGCGTCCCGGGTTCAGCCCCCGGCAGCCAGGCAAACAGAGGCTCAGGCAGGCTCCCCGGAGTCGTGGGGCTGGTCTTGCTGGGGTGGGTTCGGCCACCAACGCCCGTTTGTGCCCCCCGCCCAGGCTGCGTCCTGAACAACCAGGAGGTCCGCCTCGCGATCCACTACGAAAGCGGCTTCACCATTTCCCGGGAAGAGGCGGGCTGCTCCACCGTCCTTTTCCGGTACCCCTTTGAAAAGCTGAAAATGTCTGCAGACGACGGCATCCGGAACCTCTTCTTGGACTTCGGTGGCCCGGAGGGGGAGCTGGTGCGTGGAAGGGCCGGCCGGGCCTGGGGGGAGAGGGCGGTTCTGAGGCCGGTGCGGGGCGCAGGGTGGCCCTCCAGTGTCCTGCCCTGGATTCCCCCCCATCGTAGCCACTGGTGGGGATGATGGGAGTTGCATGCCGAGCCTGGAGGGCCCCACTGCTCCCAGAGAGGGCGTGGGCCTTCGGAGTGCGGGGAGACTCGCTAAGGAGCTCCCTGGGGGCCGGGGAAGGGCAGGAGGCCGTCTGGGGGGCCGGGGGCGCAGCTGGGCATCCTGAGTGCTCGGCTGCCTTGCACGTGCGAGCGCTGCAGGCGGGCTGGGAGCAGCGGGCAGCTGGAGGGCGCCTGGCCGTGCCTGTGCCAAGCGAGGGCCTGAGGTGCCGCCCTTTCCCTCCCTCCCAGGCTCTGGAGCTCCACTCCTGCCCCAAGCCCATCGTGTTCGTGCTGCACACGTTCTTGTCGGCCAAAGTGACCCGCCTGGGGCTGCTGGTGTAGGGGCGGAGGCGCCCGGAGCCCCCCCGCCTCGCCCGGCCTCCTCCTGCCCGGCCTCAGTGCCTTGACCCGGACTCGTCAAGGGGCATCCGGGACGCCTCGCCGTGGGAAGCGCTGCGCTGCCGCCACAGGTCTTGCAGGGCCGCCTCCCTGCCGGGGGGGAGCAAGCCGAGAAGGGGCCCGGGAGGTGGGCCGGGAGGGCCGCGTGAAGCCCCCCTGGGCTCCCTGCCCTGCGGAGCCCACTGGTGTCGTGGAAGATGGTCCTTGCATCTTCCCCCAAATTTCACCTGCCGCGTGTGCCTTTTGCTGGTGGACGAACGAGGCGAGTGTCAGCCCGGCGCCGGGGACAGAGGACGTCTGCTGCCGGCCTTCCGGGACGGGCCGCTTTCCGTGGGGCCGCACGTCAGAGGCGTCCTGGGGCGACTCCGCAGTACTCAGGGGCGTGTGCACCTTTCGTGGGGTGCCCGGGAGGCCGGAAGCCACAGCTGCCCCCGGTCCCGTTGTGCCCTGCAGCGATCCGCCTCCGGGAGGGGGGCGCAAGGACCGCGGTGTCTGCCCTGGGCCCCAGTGTGGGGGCCTGGGCCACTCGCCCCCCCGCTGGGCTCTATCACAGCAGCACCAGCATTGGTTGGGAGTGATGGGAGTTGTGTTCCAACACATCAGGGGAAAGCTAGTCTAGGCCTTCCAGGGACAGGTCTGGAGGGTGCAATGGTGACCCCCCCCCCCCCGCCCCCCCCCCCCCCCCCCGCCCCTCTCTGCCCCTATTCCGTCTCCTCACCCACCCCCCCCCCCCCCGGGCATGCCCTGCTTTCGGAAAGCCCGAGCCCGGGGCGCCTGGCACACCCAGCCCTGCCCTCGGGGCCCGCGAGGCCCGCACAGCAGGCGGTGGGCTTCCCTGCGCTGCTCGGCACGGCCCCGGAGACGGCCCCCGGCGGCACACACTCCTTTCCCTGGGGGGCAGCCCCCCAGAGGCCATGCAGCGCTGCCCCCGTGCCTTTGCAGCCCCTGAGTGAGTGTTGGGCGTGCCCCCAGCGAGCCCGAAGCCCTCCGACCCCGGAACGGGCCCTCGCACCAAAGGAACCGTTTCGGGGCCAGCGCAAGGCCGGACCTGGGAGCCGAGGCGAGGCCTCGCTCGGAACGCTCCTCCCATAGCACTTTCCCTTCTCCGGGTGCATCGCGCTCGAGCTTGCGCCTGGGAAGAGCCACTTAACCGGGTCTGAGGGGGCGGGGGGCACCCAAGCTGCGCTGCCTGTTCGGCCCCCCTCTGCTCCCCCCGCAGCCGCCCTCGCACGCTTCCACAGCGGGTCCGGCTTTCCTCGTGGGGGGTGGTCGGGAGTGGGGAGGAGCCGTGGGGCTTGCTTTCACTTGTCCCAAGCCGTAGGCGCTAACCCGAACCCTTCGGCAGCGATCTGAGCGCCCGGCTCCCACAGCCCCGCGGCCACCTGGCCTCCCTCGGCCTTTGGCCTCCACCTGCTGCTGGGGACCCGGCCGGCCTTTCGAGGGCAGAGGCCACTGCCAACCCAAAGTGCCAAAAATGAGACTCTTGCAAGATCTCGAAGAAATTTGCCCAGGAACCACCGGGAACGTCTTGTGCGTCTGCTGTGCAAAACCTTCACGCGTGTGTGCTGGTGTACTCTAACCTTGAATATTAAGACACAGTAATACTGCCACAATCAATCGAAAATGTACAACCGACTTTATTTTTGTATTCTTTGTAAAGTATATTTATACAAGAAGGACTTCTTTTTTCCAGAAGTTTTTAATCTCACATAATTGGAGTCTCCGGGTTAGTAAATCCGTGTGAACCCACCGCCGATACTTGGGCTGTGTTTGCTGTCCGCAAGAATCCAGGGACGCCCCCAGCCCTTGAATCACACAGAAACAGAGCAAGTCAGGAGGGGTCTCCCGGGCCATCTAGTCTGACCCCTGGCTCCAGCCAGCTCCGCTCACGACAGGCCCGCCACGTGCATGTCCAGCCTAGCCTTGAACACCCTCATCGACGGGGCCTCAACCAGCTCCCGTGGGAGCCCATTCCATACACTGGCGGTCCTGACTGCCAGGAGGTGCTTCCTGGCATCAAGTATTGTACATTACAATGGGAAGGTGACGAAGAGCAAGCGGATTCGCATTCTTTCTGTTCTGTATAATAAAGATGTTGATGCTTTTAGTCTTCATTCGTTGCCTTTTTTCTTGGCAGGGGGAGGGATCAACGACTTTTCATACTGGGGGGTGAGGAAGCAACATGCTGGGAACTGGAGGAGGGATTTCTTGGCACCCCCCCATCTGTGCTAATGAGTTAGATCCTGGATGGTGGAGGGAAAAACAGGCATGAAGGAAAGAATCAGATGAGTCGTGGCCCTGCGGCTTTTGCCCGCCAGCACACGGGGCAGGGAACGGGGGCGCCGAGAGCTCCCGCAGCAGGGGCCCGTCGTGGGCTCTGCCGTCCTGCAAGGGCAGAGCAGAAGGCCAGGCCTTGGCATGGGGGCGGCTTGCGAAGGGGGGCGGAGTGGCTGGGCGTCCCAGGGGCAGATGCCCAGCTCCACCTTGGCCGCGGACCCCCAGCTCCAGCGCCTTCCCGAATGCCCGGAAATAAGGCGGCTTCATTGGCAGGCGGGCAAGCAAAGGGGCGGAAAACTGCGGGGGTCTCGCTCTCCCTGCACCCCACGAAGGGCCTCGGCATCGCAGCGGGGAAGAGCTGGGGGTGGGGGGCATCGGCCCCAGTTTCTCAGGCGGCTGCCTGCCTTTGACACGTGCCCTTCGCGGCTTCAGGTGTTGGAGAGAATGCACTTCGCCTTTTAAAAGACGAAAACGACCGGCCTATTTCTGCTCCAGGGTCCCAGCCTACATTTTATGTATGTATGTATGTAGTAAGCTGCTATGCCGCCCCATTTGCTGAAGCCTCGGGGCGGCTCACAATAAATAAATAATCACAGTATAAAAACAATATAATTTGAGTAGACCTGGCCAAAGAATAAAATAAATAAATAATATTAACAATTAAAATAACGCTTAAATAAAAAGGTCTTCGCCTGGCGCCGAAAAACAAATACATGGGGTTGCCCCCCCCC